CCTAGAAGTCAACAAGTCCAACTCCCCCCCTTTTTTTTTTTACAGATGGGGAAACTGAGGCCCAGGAAGACTCCCATATCCAGAGCTGGAAGGGGCCCTAGAAACCATCTAGTCCAGCTAGTCCCTCATTTTAGACTGGAAAACCGAGGCCTTGGAAGGTTAATTAGCTTGCCCAGGTCCACATAGCTGCTAAATATCTGAGCCAGGAGTCACACCAAGGTCTTCTCATTTCCAAGTCCAACGCTGTCTATTAAGCCACCAGAAGTTAGGCCATCCAAGGACAAGAAACTCGGGGGCAGGGAGAGGTGGTATTTAGTCTGGAAAACAGGCAGCGGGGCCCGCAATAGCCAGCCACCTTCAATTCAAGCTTTGGGTTGGGAATTCTCCCAGCTCCAGAGTTCTGTAATTAGATGGAGAGAAAGGCCAGTGACTGCCAAAGGGAGCAGAGAAATCTCTGGTGACCTATGTTGGGTTAAATGAATGCAGACATACAGAATCCTGGAGTGGGAAAATACCTTGGAGGTTATCTAGCCCAAATCTGACCAAAGCCCCTCTATTGCCATGTAGTCTCTCTGCTTGAATCACTCCAGTGACAAGAAGCTCACTCACTACAGAACTAAGCTGCTTACTGGGGGACAGCTCTGCTTGCTAGAAAATTCCTTTAAGCCCCCAGATCTTTCTGCCTGTAATTTTCACCTGTAATTGTCTGTCCTCTGGGATCCAATGGAACAAGTCTAATCTCTCTTCTCTCTGAGAATCCTTCAGATATCTGAAGATGGAAAGCACACCTCCCCACTAATTCCTCTCTTTTTCACACTAGCCTTCTCTAGGGCCTCCAGACATTCTTCAGAGAGTGTAGTTTCAAGTCCCCTCATTATCCTTATCATCCTTTTCCAGCTCCCCCATGGTCATCTTTAAATGTGGCTCCTAGAATTGATTGCAACACTCCAGATATAATCTGTCCAGTGGGACAATCACTTCTTTATTTTTTCTACCTATGTAATCTTAGGTAAATTCATTTAACCTTGGGCTGCTGAGAGTCAGAGGGAATACTAGGCCTGGAGTCAGGAAGGGCCGTGTTCAAATCTGGCCTCAGACTAGTTGTATGACCATGGGCAAGTCACCTAACTACTCTGTGCTTCAGTTTCCTCATCTGTAAAATGAGGGGATTAGATTCAATGCCTTCCAGCTCTAAAACTATGATTCTCTTCGGTGAGAATACTTGCAATGCTTCCTAGGGTTGCTATGAGGATGAATGTGTATAAATCATTTTATGAACTATAAATCATGAGAAGGTGGTATGGAAAGGGAAAAGGAAGAGCCTAATCTAACTTACTATATAAATGAAGCCTAGGGTCCCATTTGATTTCTGGCTAGTCATGTAACACTGCTAAATTTGTAGTCACTAAAACCCAAGTCCTTTTCACATCAGCTGCTTTCTAGACACATCTTCCCCTATCCCATACTTGGGCAGTTGAATTTTTGAACCCAAGTGCAAGACTTTATGTTGATTCATAAAAAACACAGTCTTACTGGCTTCGTGAAACCATTGGTAAGGGAAGAGAGGGCAGGTTCATCCAGATGAATCTTCTCATTAAGCTCTTAACTCGTCTCGTCTATTCTCATCTTAAATTACCCGACTCCTGCAAGCTTATAATGATGCTTACAAAGGGGAGAGCGGTGCCTTTCCACATTTCCTCTCCTATGCTACCCACCCTTCTGTCAGGGTCAAGCTCAAAGCTCACCTCTTCTGCCTTACTGCTGGGGAAAAGGCAATGGTCTTCTCTACTAATGGGAGTGGGTAGGTAGGGGGAAGGCCTAAATCCCTCTACCTCGCTGCTCATTCTCTCAGTCCCTCTCCTTCCCTTTCTGGCAGCACCAGAGGAATGCTGAACACCCACCCCCCCCATTTCAGCCCTTCCATTGTCAGAACAATGGAGTCAAGCAGCTTCTTCCTCCGTGAAAAGGAAGAAGGAAGAGCTCAGCTGAATAGTGCCAGAAGCCTGGGGAACCCCAGGGGTAAGAATGGCAGAGGAGAAAGTACAGAGGGCTTGGGAGATGTGGTGTAAGAGAACGCATTGAGCCCTTGCTGGGCTGAATTGAGCAGGATTTGGTGACGGAAAGGACCCTAGGGATCATTCCAGTCCAGTTCTCTCATTTTACAGATGAGGGCACTGAGGCCAAGAAAAAGGAAGTGACTTGCCTAGGACAGCCGTCTAGGAAGTGGAACCCGGATCCTCCGAGTTCTCATCTACTGCTCTTTCCCTTCATGCCACAGCTTGTATCCCAGTCTCCTGCATACAGTAGGTACTCAAACATTTCTTGATGACTGGAGAGGAGTTGACACTTGTGTCTGTTTCTGTTGTAATTGCCTGTTTTTAACCAAGATCATAGATGAGTTCTGTGCTCTCCTCCTCCTTTAAGGACTGGCCTCCCTGGCACTGGTGTTGAATTCAACAGAGATCCCCACCTGGTGCCATCTTCTCACAGCACCCTGGGCGGGCGTGGCTCAGGGCATGGTAAAGACTCCGTCCATGATGACCAGACCCACCTAGCTCAAGGCTGGCTCGTGCCAATATCATCCTCTGTCCTTGACCTAGGGGAGCTTCCCAGGCCCTCCAACCCCATCAGAGTTCAACCGAAAAATCGAATCAGTCGGTCAACAAATATTTCTAGAGAGCTGTTCTCAGACACAGAGAGGCCTGTTTCCCAGTACAGCCTCTAACACACTGGCGGTGTGACCCGGGCCGCTCTAAGGGACTCCCCAAGACTGTAAGTGCATTGGGAGAGGGAGCTTCTCTGAGAGTTCTGTACCCCAATGAAATCCCATTATCTCGGGGTGCTAGGCACAAAGACAAAAGCAAATCCATCCTTCCTTTCCAGCTTACATTGTGTGGGGGGAGATAACATGTACATATATAAGGTAGATATAAGCCATATACAAGGTAATGGGGGGAAGGAATAGGGAAAGGCTTCATGTAGAGATCACTCTGGACATTAACTAGGCATTCTCAGAGGCAAAGGGGAGGAGGGAGTGCATTCCAGGCATGGAGGCCAGCCTGGGAAGAGGCACAGAGTTGGTCTGAGAAACCACAAGAATGTAGACTGCAGTGCACAAGGAAGAGAGGAATTGGTGAGAAGGCTGGAAGGGGAGGTTGGAGGCAGGTCATGAAAGGCTTTAAATGTGAAGTTTATATTTGATTATAAGAGGTAATAGGGAACCACGGGAGTTTATAGAGTAAGGGAGTGATGTGGTCAGACTTTTGCTCGGAAAAGACACTTTGGCAGATGAGTGAAAGATGAACGGGAACACCAGGGTTCCAATGCCAAGTTTCCTAATCTAGAAAATAAGGGAGTGGAAGTCTATCTCTAAAGTCCTTTCCAGCTCTGAACTCGGCCTTTGTATATATGTGTACGTTTTGGGGGGAGGGATAAATACAATCCTATACAAAAAAGGCTCAGAGAAACAGTCTGGACAGTGAAGGGTTAACATTTCCATCCAGGAAATTCAGGCCAGGATCCCTGGCCAACTCCCCCACCCCCAGCTGAATCCATCTGACCAAGCCCATCCCCGGGTCAGGTGGCCTGATTAACAAAGCCAGAGCCCACCCCTTTTCCCCCAAGAGAAGAAGGAAACAAAGCCATTCCCACAGACAGCCCCACCTCCCCGAACCCAAGCAGAATTTTTCCAGAGGGCCTCTTCCCTCTACGATTGGGCAAACCTAATTCTCAGCAAAGCAGGTCTGAGTCCAAAGGTCACTGGCACTGGGCAGGGAAGTGGATCCCCATTTTGTGGGTGGGGGCATAAGGTCAGTGTCTGCAAGGGAAGTTTTGCAAAAGGATCCCCTCCTCCCTCCCCCAGCAGCCCATTAACCCTAGGGGTGTCCTCCCTGGGTAGCCTCTACAGATCGACCTGGAAGCTAAGGTACTCTGCTCCCCCGTCCCTTCCCCCACAGCAGGCTTCCCAGCTCATCCTCTGCTTGGCCCCAGGGCACAGTGGCTTGGGGGTGGGGCCTTAAATGCTAAACACACCTGGAGAGGTGGGGCCCAGTCAACCAAACTAGCAAGACCAGAGAAGGGGGGAGGGGGAGAAGAGAGAAGAGCAAAATAACTTTCAGTTTGGTAATTTGAGGGCAGGTTTACCAAGCACCTGACTCACAATGGTCCCAGGACATAGGGAGTGCAAATGTGTTTTTCACCTCACTACAGATGAAGAGACTGAGGCTCCGTAAGGCAAAGTGACCTCTGATGGCCACCTGGTCCTGGCAGGTGCCTAAGCCTGGAGGGCAGAGACAGCACAAGAAGGAGACCACCACCTTCCACTCCAGAGCCACATGGGAAGCCAACACTTGGGGGGCTGGGGAGTGAAAGGAAGGAGGGAGGAGAGAAAGGTCTGCTCACAGCTCAGTGTGCGAGGAGCCTGGCCAGGCAATTCAGAGGACCTGGGTTCAAATCCTCCTTCTGATGCTTATCGCTGCAAGGACCTGAACACTCATTTCACCTCTGTGGGCCTCAGTTTCCTCATCTGTAAAAGAGGGTTGGAGCAGATGCCCCAAAGTTTGTGCCAGCACATAATCATGCGATCCTATGAGATTCACCACCCTGGCCACTTCTCTATCATTCTAAACCTAGAGGACCTCAGGAGGAAGTGAGGAAATTGAAAGCTCTAGCAGTGTGCCCTGGTGTGGGCGGCTAGAGGGCAGGATCTGGAGGCCCGGGAGCTGCATCAGAATCTGTTCTGCTACCTGCTGCCTCAGCGAGCTCGGGCAAATCCCTTCTCCCTTTGGGCCTAATCCACTGGACTAGAGGACCTGCAGGGTCCCTTCCAGCACGAAATCCTGTCATTCCGGGGCCCATTAGGGGCCGAGCATCTCGGGCCTCTCACCTAGCAGACTTTCAGGCCTCAGGTCTTGCCTGTGGCGGGGAGAGGGTTCCATCGGTCGGCACTCGGAGTGGGCGTGGGGGCACCCGCTAGGGCGCAGGGATGAGGGAGCCCCTACCTTCTGGGCCTGCTGGATCATCGTCCTGACCACCTCCTTGAGGTGGGGCGCCTTCTCCTCCTTGGGAGGGTGGGTGAACAGGGTGACGCGACTGACGCCGCGGTAGTAGCCGTTGTCTGTCCAGCCCAGATCGAGCGGGGGCACCTCGGTGTCCGAACGGTCAGGCCAGTAGGCGAGCGAGGCAGAAGGCTCGGTGGGGGCGGGAGCCTGGCCCTCGGTGGGGGCGGGAGCCTTGCCTTTGCCCTTCGCAGGGCCCGGCGCCTGCACCTCGTAGGGGCGCCAGTCGGTCCGGAGCGCCAGGCGCTCGGGCGCGGACACAAAGTCGCGCAGCCGCTCCTTGGTCAGCACGTCCTGGTAGGTCCGGTCCCCGGAGGTCAGCAGCGCCTCCAGGGCGGCCCGGCGCCGCTCGCAGTAGTAGAAGGCAGCCTGCGCCTCCGTCACCTTCTCGTTCACGTGCGCCTCGTCCAGGCAGGCCAGCTGAGACTCGGCCATGACGGCCGGCGGCTGGGGCGCTGGAGCTGGGACTCGTGTGGGCTCCCGGGCTTCCGCCCCCAGCGCACCTGGGCGCCCAAGGCGAGGCGGGGCTGGGTCCGCGACTCACCTGGCGAGGGCTCCGCCCCTGGCCGCGCGCGGGCCAATCCGCGCTGAACCTCGGAGAAGCAAGCTGAAATGCCGGTTCCGTGGTGCGCAGGGCAGCCCGGTGCGCCCAGGGGCGCGGGGCGCAGGGCAGCCCGGTGCGCCCAGGGGCGCGGGGCGCGGGGCGCGGGGCGCTGCCCGGGCAAGGGCGAGAAGAGACGTGCGGGAAAAGGAGGTGGCCTCTCCGGCTCCAGCTAGCTCCCCCCCCCTCGGGGAATCCCCGGGGTTTCTTGGGAAAGGGGCGCAAATGTGCTCAGAGGGGAGGCTAGATCCATTTTTGGGAACGTTGGAGTGGGGATTCTGAGATGCCCTCCGAGATCCCTTCCACCTCTGACCTTTTGTGATTCTGATTTTGGGCAAGCCACTGCCACAAGCCTCAGTTTCCCAGTTTGTAAATGGGGGGGGGAAGGGAAGGTAGGAGGACTAATTCACTCCTACCGTCTGCGGTCTGCTCTGTTCGGTCACGTTATCTAACAAAGTCTATCTGGAGCCCAGAGGAGATGTACAAAGTTGAAATGAAACCTGACCCCTCCTCTCAGGGAACTTACAGAAGTCTAATCAGAGACTGCAGTACAGAACATACATTCTCTGTATCTTTCCATTGGCAGATGCCTAGGTCCAGGGAGAAGAGAAGAGAAGAGAAGGAGGGATGGGCTCAGTGGGGTTTTCACCAGGAAGGAAAACTGTAGCTGCCCTCTCTGAGGCGTCTCTCTCCCACACAGAACCACACCCTTAGGCCACTTTGGTCTGCTGCAGCACCAGAGCAGCAGGGAGGCACCTCTGGGCAGATGAAAGGTTGGCACCAACCTGGTCTTCGTTCCTCTGTTTCCCTCACCTAGTCCCTGTTCAAATCAATCAACAAGCATTTATTAAGCACCCACTGTGAGCCAGATAGGGAGAAGCTAGGTCTAGCCAGGTGTCCAAAAGACTCATCTCCCTGAGTTCAAAACTGGCCTTAGATACTTCCTAGCTGTGTGACCCTGGGCAAGTCACTTAAGCTGGTTTGCCTCAGTTTCCTCACCTGTAAAATGAGCCGGAGAAGGAAATGGCAAACTGCTCTAGTATCTCTGCCAAGAAAACCCCAAATGGGGCCACAAAGAGTCAGACTTTCAGATACTCCAGCTTCCTGGTTTCTTCAGTCTAATCAAGACAATGTCTTCCTTCTACCTCAGCCACCATCTAGGGGTGATCATATTGGGGATTTTGCCATCACTCAAAGTGGCCACTTCCTTATTTAGGACCTCTGAATTTTCTTTATCCAACAATGATCTTTCACCTTTCCAACTCTCTCATGCCTCACCCTTGTTCTCACTGTGACCTGCAATGCCAATGTCGGTTAGGGTTAGCTCAGGGCAGGGTTGGGGAACTTTTGGCCTGGAGGCCACATGTGTCCCTCCAGGTCCTCAAGTGTGGCCCCTACATGTGGCCTCAAGGCCGAAGGTTCCCTACCCCTGCCTCAGGCCATCACCTCTGTTCTGGCTACACTTTCCTCTCTTCTGAGTCTTAACCCCTTGGTGAATCAGGCTAACCCTACACTGTTTTTTCCTCTTGAATCCCTTGTTCCCTTGCATATCCCTCATCATTTCTGCCTTCCTGGCATCTTTCCCATCTGTCTTCTGCTCTCTACTCCCACAGCTGGACTATTGCAATAACATTCTACCTGGACTCTCTGCCTCGAGGCTGTCTCCATTCCAAATCTGTCCCCCACCCAGCTGCCAAAGTGCAGATCCGACCATGTCATCAACACCCCAACGACCCCCACCAAACAGTGAATTTGCCACCTTTCTGATCAAATGTGAACTTCTCTGTTTGATGTGGAAAGCTTTTCACCACCTGAGACCTTCCTACGTTTCTAGTCTTCTTACATCTTATTCCTTTCCATGAACTCTGGGATCCAGCCATACTGGCCCACTCCTAGCTGTGCTCTGCGCCCAGAATGCTCTCCTTCTGAACCTTTGCATCTAAGAATCTCTGGCTTCCTTTAAGATTCAGCTCTAGCGTTACCTCCTCCAGGAGGACTTTCCAGGTCCCCCAGGTGCTAATGCCATCCCCTCTAAGCTCATCTTCCATCTACTCTCTGTATACCTTGTACGTTTGGATTTCTGTATGTTCTCTCTCCCATTAGAATGTAGGCTTCTTGAGGGAAGGGACTGTTTTGGACCTTCTTTGTCTCCCAACTAGCCTAGTGCCCAACACAAAGCAAGTGCTTGATAAATGCTTGTTGATTGATCAACTGATAGGGTATAGAAAGACAAAAAAGAGACAGTTCTTGCCTTCCAGGAGCTTATACTTCATTGGGGGAGACGACACAGACACGTATACATATTTACAAAAAAAGGCAAATCCAATTCACAGGCAAGTCTAAACATCACCAGTGATATCATCGGTCCTCTTTGAAAAGGAAGGACCAATGACGACAAAAGGTATAGTACGATGGAAAGAACACTGACTTAGGAGTTCGAGGACCTGGGTTCAAGTCCTACCTCTTCCACTTTTGACCTTAGGCAATTCAACTTCTGTTTCCACCCCTGGAAGATGAGGGAGTTGGCTAAATGGTGTCCGACTTTCAGCTCAAAACTGATGACTTGGTTTAGGCCAACCTGGGCTACCTGGTGTCCCCTGGATGAGGGCCCGGGACAAGGCTGGCCTCCACTTTCCCTCCTCCTAGTAGCAAGGAATAGCCCCCTAAATCATAAGGTAGTTGATGGAGTGGTGGACTTGGAGTCAGAAAGATCTGGGTTCGAATCTGCCTCATATACTTATGATCTATCTGACCTTGGAAAGTCACTTAACCTCTCTGGGTGTCCTCCTTTGTAAAATGAAGGGTCAGTCTCAATAACCTCCAAGGTCCCTTCCAGCCAAGTCTATGATCCTGTGTTCTGTCTTGCCTCAGTCGTTTCACTTTGGAACTAAATAAGCTAACGGGTAATCGATTCTGCCTCCCCAGTCCAATCTATCCATATTCTGGGAGTGGAGGACTCCTGGGACTGTCAGCCCAGTGCCTTTCAGCATTGCAGATTTCCCCTTTAAAAAAAACAGACAGACGCAACCACGTAGCGCATGGGGCTGCTAACCAGCCTTCCCATTTTAATTTAAAGCATGTGTGTGTTTTCAGTAATAGTGGCTGCCAGAGGACTGATTACTATATTAGTGTTTCAAAATATGTGTTTGAGCATGAGGAAGCAACACACACACTCTCCTCTTTGTCTCCTCTCTTTCTCTCGCCCCTCTCTTCTCTATTCCTCTTTCTCTCTTCTCTCTCTCTTTCTCTTCTCTCTTTCCTCTCTTCTCTCTTCCTCTTCTCTCTTTCTCTTCTCTCCTCCCTATCTTCTCTCTTCCTCTTTCTCTCTTCTTTCTCTCTTTCTCTCTTCTCTCTCTCTTTCTCTTCTCTCCTTCCTCTCTTCTCTCTTCCTCTTCTCTCTCTCTTTCTCTTCTCTCCTCCCTGTCTTCTCTCTTCTTCTTTCTCTCTTCTTTCTCTCTTTCTCTCTTCTCTCTTCTCCCTTCTCTCCCTCTCTCCTCTCTCTCATAGCCATGGAAGCTTAGCAACTTCCCATTGGGTTAAACACAATCTTAGTCATTTACATAATTGGGGTCAGCTCTTGCAGTACAACTTCAATCTCTTATTTTCAGAGATTTTCAGATCATATTGGGCTCTCTCATTCTATACCTGCTTGGCCCTTTTGTCTCTAGGAACATTTCAAAGATAATAATAATAATATCTAACATTTACATAACACTTACTATGTGCTAGGCGCTGGGCTAAGCACATTACAAATATTATCTCGCTTGATCCTAACAACTACCCTGGGAGGTAGGTGCTGTTATTATCCCCATTTTACAGTTGGGGAAACAGAGCTTAAGTGACTTGCCTAGGGTCACACAGCTATTAAGTGTCTGAGGTGGGATTTGAACTCAGGTCTTCCTGACTCCAGTCCCTGTCACAGGAAGGTGTGGGGGAAAGGGAGAAAGCAAGATGATTATAGATCTAGAGCTGGAAGGTGTCTCTGAAGCCATTTAGGTCAAAGGTCTCACAGGCAAGGAAAATGAGGACCAGGAAAGTTAAGTGAATTACCCAAGGTCACACAACCAGTAAGTAGTAGAATGGGCAGCTGAATTCAGGTCCTCTTCTGTCAAATCCAGAGCTTCATTAATAACAAAAAAGTTTATTGAACCCCTATGATCTGCAAGGCACTGGGTATATAACCAAGACCGAGATGAACCCTGTCTTCAGAGCGCTTGCGCTCTCCTCTTTGTACCTCCTATCTGTATCCCACTATCCTTTCCAGAGGAAGACGGTGGCACTGGTGTTCATTGTTTTCCTTGTGAGCGGATCAGCTGCTGAACTTCCATGACTGGCATATTGATTGCTTATTATGGCACCGGAAAGATAAAAATAAAGTAAAAAATAGTCCCTTCCCTCAAGGAGCTTACATTCTAATCTAGCGTTCTTTCCGCCGAAGCAGGCTGAGCCCTTGGCTGCAGCCCTGGGAGTCGGTTCTATTCTAGGAAAATAAAACCCTAGCTCCTTCTCTGCTTGAACTGGTCCTGCCTCCGCTGTCCCCAGAGCCACAGGGTGAATGGGGTCTCCCCAAGATCTCAAGCTCTGATTGCAGCTTCTCTGAGGGGGACATGCATCCCCCACAAGTGATGTGACTCAGTGGGCCTTTTCCGTCAGCCGCCTACTGTGCCCCCAGCCCCCTTCCCTTGGCTTTTCTCCTTCCCGGTCCTGCCAGTTCAGGTTGTGTGTTCGACAAGGCTGGCACCTCATAGTTAACATTAATTGTAGCCGGGCCCATCCGCCGCACGCGCTGCTTTCCCCAGCGCTCCTGTGTAATTTGATTCCCTAAATAGTCCACCTCATGTTACAGCCTTAAATAAGATTCCCACTGGTGGC